TCCGTGGGATTTGAACCCTAGACCTGCTACTTGGAGAGGGTGACAACTTGACCACTTCACTAAGCTGCCACACCCCCCAAATATATATATATATATATACCTAATTATTTATATATTATAATTAATTAGGAACCAGACAGTAAATATAGAATTAATTCGAACTATTCCGAAAAGATATACAGTAATATGAAAATTTAAAAATAGATTGAAATAATTTGAACTAATTTAATATCAATAAATTATTTTAGGTGAATAAAAGACCAAGAGTTGGTAAATAATATGCAAATTTAAAATTTATCTAACTAGCAATATAGCATTTCAATTCGAATAGTTGCAATTTTATATATATATTTTCAAAATTATCAAAGTTGTTGATTTAGAACCGGATGAAGTCCAAGAAGCTGAAAAAGAACCAGATAATAATGAAGAAATTAAGAAAGATACAGATGAATATGAGAAAAATACAGATACTGATGAGTAAAAGTTTTTTTTGTTTTGCTTTTTTTATATATGAATAATGCTGCATTTTTTTTTTATATATATTTCTTTAATATAGGATTATCAAAAATTTTTTTTTTTATATTTTTTTATATGTAATTTTAAATAAAATAAAATAAAATTATAATAAAATATTGATTTTGTTTATTTGAATAAATATCTTATAGTAAAATAAATTTAGTATTTTTGAATTAATTCGAAATATTGTGAATAAATCATAAATTAATACTTTTCAAATATATTTATATAATATATTTTTATTAAATAATTTCAAATTATTCAGATTTAATTCTTTTATATTCGATTTAAATCGAAACAGTGTGATATTTCTGTCTTCTTATAATAAAAGTTTTGTTATTCATATTACTGCTTACGTCAGTTTATAGTACATGGTTGCGATTTGTTGCGAATTATTACGATTTAATTAGCATAATATTGCGTAATTTATTATGTATATATTTCGTAATATTCCGTAATTGATAATTGTATAAGATTCCATGTCATTGTGAAATTCTTGTGCAAGATTTCAGTCCATAATAACTTACGTAAGATTACGTTTATATATTTTGCTGATGTAGTATCACTTTGGTTAAGCTGTGTTGCTATTTCAATAGTCTTATGTAAATTTTGTAATATTTTGATCACAAACACTTTCTAAATACTATTGTTTGGCTATAAGCCCAATATTAAACTTCGCAGTTCTTGAATTCATTATAACATGAAAAAAATGTGCACATATAAGTCCATGATTAATGATAGCTAAACAAGTGTATAAATGCCTTCATCGGTTAATAAAATAACATAATACTTATACAATTGTGTAAGTCCAAAGAGCTCCTATATTTCTAAAACATCAGGTGGGTGTATTCCATCTATAAGAGAATAAAGAGTAGTTTGTAGCCTATCGAGATAAATCTCAAGAAACTCAATATCACAATCGACTTGATCAGGTTCCTAAAAAAAAAAAAGCTAGTTTATTAAATTAATGATTGCAGTATTATTATTATTATAGCTTACTTCTTGTATAACACTAATTGTCTCTTTAGGAATTAATCTTGCACGATAAAGTAAGAATCTGAGTATTTGCTGACATTGAATGGATAGAATATGTGAAGGTAAAAATTTTTTAAGCAATTCAAGTACCTCAGGAAATACAGGCCCTATAATAGAAAGTGCTTGGTTAACTGGAAGACTTTGAAGATAAGAGTTATACCAAGCCCACTTGGCTTTATTATCTAACAGTCTTTGAATTATGTCATACAAATTGCACAAAGATAATATACTACTTATATCATCTTTAATTACTCTATTCATTACTTCGACTCTTTGTATACTTTGTATACCAGCTGTGAAAACTTTAATTTGAAAACATTTTGCCTATAATTTATAACAATTTTTAATGTATTATTAAGATAATCTTGAGCCCAAGAATACTTTTCTAATAAATGTGTCCAACATCGATAAAAATCATATTCAAATAAGCTATTTTAAGCACATAAAAATTCCTTATAAAATGTATCATATCTTTGCCCAATTTACTTTGTAAATTCTTGTATAAATTTTCTTGTATATGGAAAATACAAAGAAAATGTTGAATAGTAGGTATTTTTAATGCTATTGTATTTGATAGAGCAGGATCGGCATTAGAAAATATACAAACTGGCGGAATATTATTTGTCGCTTGAAGGACACAATCAAAAAACCACTTATAACTTTTAGTTGTTTCATTATCTAATAAATATTGTGTGACAAGTTGACTTTTAGTATTGTTATCAATAATAACAAAAAGTGTTAAATACATATTAAACCAATTGGTTTGACTTGTATTGTCAGTTTGTATTATATTGTTGTACCGTAAAAGACATTGCTGTTAATGAGATGATATCCAAAACAAATCTGTAAGTTAATTATCAAAAGGATCAAGTCTTGTTTTAATTATCTAAACTGTCTCTTGGTTTTGTAACTCAAGTAACTTGTTAATCATATTTTGAGCATTTTCTTGGTGCTTAATAAAAGATGCTTTAAAACTATAAATAGCATTATAAATGTCTCACTTGTGAATTAACTGATTTGGGAAACATGCAACTATTAAAGGATATATTTGCTTTGATCCCAAGTTTCCTTTGGTTATGTAAAACTTAATCTGCTCCAATATATTATCTGACAATCTGCGATATTTGGGTGCATATAGAGTTATATTAGATAACATAGAATAGTTGTGTTGTTTAACAATACTTGTAATGCCAATTTTTAACAAGCCTTTAGGCTTGCTTAAATTTATGTGCCATGAGCATCTAATCTTTCTAGATGGGCGATTATGCTAACAGGTTGGATTAATTACTTGATTTGAAATAGCCTTCCCAAAAAAACTATATTCAAATATTCATCGATGAACTATTCTATCTTGATCTACTTCGACTCGTTTTCGGCATATACAGAATCCAGCTAACTTTGCATATTGATTAAGTCATGTTTTAGCTATTTTCCATGAAGTAAATATATTACCAACATTAATAAGAACAGTATTTTCTAGTCCTGTTTTCTTTTGAGAACTTCCTATATCCATAATTCTTTAAGGTTTTATATCCTGAAATTCTATATCCATACTTTCTTGAGATTCTACATTTATATCTTTTTGAGATTCTATATCCATACTTCCTTGAGGTTCTATGTATTGAGATTCCATATCTATACCTTCTTGAAATTCTATATTTTGAGATTTCATGTTTATACTTCAAGATTCTACGTTCATTCTTTCTTGATAATCTATATTCTTACTTTTTTGAAATTCCATGTCTTTACTTTCTCAAACTACTATATTCATACTTTCATAAGAAAGTTCTACAAAGAAATCTACATCTATACTCTTTTGATAATCTATATTCCTACTTTCCTGAAATTCCACGTCCCTACTTTCCTGAAATTCCATGTCCTTACTTTTCTGAAATTCCACATCTCTACTTTTCTGAAATTCTACATCCCTACTTTTATAAAATTCCATGTCCCTACTTTCTTGAGATATTGTATTTATACTTTCTTGAGGTGATGCTATGAAGAAATTTTGATATCAAGTTTGTTCATTAAAATTGTCATTATGTTTTACTATATTAATTTTATTAGAAAAAAGTAATAAGTAAGTTTGAAGATTTTCCATGAAGTCATCGTTATTAATATTGTTTAGAAAAAATTGAAATAGATCAGCTTGAAGCACTTCCTTATAAGAAAACTCTTAATAGAAATTAAAACAGAGTAGAATAAATAAAGCAACTATTAAGTGCGAAAAAATATAGATTACACTATTTACTTTCCATTATTAGATTTATTTTTTTAAAAAAATAACACTCCAAAGAGAAGTAGAAAGAAGCAAAAACACACGTATTCTGAAAAGAAGCAGAAAAAATGAAGATATATATGTTCTAAAGAGAAAAGCAAAAAAAACAAATATACTGTGTTGAAAAAAAAGAGATGCAAACAATGAACGTATGAAAAATTTAAGTAAGAATATAAGTATAAAAGCCACTTATTATTGAACATGTGTAAACAAAGAGTGGAGTCTAAAATTATAGTGGTAAGTATAATCGGTATGTAATCACGTAAACAAGTATATGTCATTTCATTAAAGTGATCATAAAAATCGGATCACATAGTAAGAAAGTAAGGTATTAAATTGGTAGCATATTACGTGTGCAATGTAAAAGTAATTTGGTTTGCCTTTTTGTCCTAATAAAATCCTCACTAATGACTCAAATTTAGATTGCACTAAAAGAATTAATTATTTATACATGTTACTGACTAGACAATTTAGGTTGCACAATTGTAATTATTTATATTAACTAAACTAATGCGAACTTTTTGTTGATGATCGATTTAATAAATATTTATTTATATTATTATTATAAACTGGTGATTATTACCACCGGTTATTTCTAGTAATACTCTTTTAATTTTTACGAAAGCTTCTATAATCTTATGCTAAATTATGTAGTTGTTTAATCATTCATATAAAATAATTAAGTTTCACAAATTTAAGTATATTTTAAAGTTATATGAAGGAAATTATGAAATTTGACAAACAATACTTATAAATAATAATGGCAAATCAATTATTAAAGTACACAATAAATATTTTTATATAAATTCACAGATATAATTAAAAATACAATGCAAGTTTCAAAAATATTAAAAATACGATACAAATTTATTTAAACTTGCAGTAGGTTTTAACTACTTGTGAAAAACTTTGTCTATTTTTATAATTTTTCTAAATAAACTTACCTTTTTAATATAATCACCATTAAAAAAGAAGTATACACTAAAATGAATTTGGATTAGAATATTTACGAAAAGGGTTAATAAATTTGTAACTGCAGTTACTGTAACTGTGTATAACATATTAGCAATCATCTATATAGCTTGTATTACATTTATACATATATTAATTAAGAATTTGAACCGGTTTTATTCGTCAAATAATAAACCGGCTTTAATATGAGAAATAAAGTGGTTTACAACTTGATAAACGATAAGGTCATATTTGGTAAACAGATCGGTACATTCTTGTTATTTAATGGGTATCGGTGAATACAGTGTATTTCATAGATTAATAGTAAAATCACGTGGCCGAAGGCCACGTGGTTTTACTATTAATCTATGAAATACACTGTTTTACCGATACCCATTAAATAACAGAATTATTTCATGGGTACGACGTACAACACGTGCAATTATGTAATTCATTAAACATCCCAGTTAGTAATTTAATAACGATAACCTTTCTATATTAAAATTCATTCTTATTTTAGTAATTAGATCGATCTTTCTTTTTTTATC